CTAAACATTCATTGAAAAGACTCAAACCATAAGATTTGAATTTTAATCTTAAATCTTCATCATTCTACTTGTTCAAAGAAAAACTCTTTATCATTCGACCAAACATGTAGAGTTACAGATTTTGTTGCTCTAAACATTCATTGAAAAGACTCAAACCATAAGATTTGAATTTTAATCTTAAATCTTCATCATTCTACTTGTTCAAAGAAAAACTCTTTATCATTCGACCAAACATGTAGAGTTACAGATTTTGTTGCTCTAAACATTCATTGAAAAGACTCAAACCATAAGATTTGAATTTTAATCTTAAATCTTCATCATTCTACTTGTTCAAAGAAAAACTCTTTATCATTCGACCAAACATGTAGAGTTACAGATTTTGTTGCTCTAAACATTCATTGAAAAGACTCAAACCATAAGATTTGAATTTTAATCTTAAATCTTCATCATTCTACTTGTTCAAAGAAAAACTCTTTATCATTCGACCAAACATGTAGAGTTACAGATTTTGTTGCTCTAAACATTCATTGAAAAGACTCAAACCATAAGATTTGAATTTTAATCTTAAATCTTCATCATTCTACTTGTTCAAAGAAAAACTCTTTATCATTCGACCAAACATGTAGAGTTACAGATTTTGTTGTTCTAAACATTCATTGAAAAGACTCAAACTATAAGATTTGAATTTTAATCTTAAATCTTTATCATTCTACTTGTTCAAAGAAAAACTCTTTGTCATTCGACCAAACATGTAGAGTTACAGATTTTGTTGTTCTAAACATTCATTGAAAAGACTCAAACTATAAGATTTGAATTTTAATCTTAAATCTTTATCATTCTACTTGTTCAAAGAAAAACTCTTTGTCATTCGACCAAACATGTAGAGTTACAGATTTTGTTGTTCTAAACATTCATTGAAAAGACTCAAACTATAAGATTTGAATTTTAATCTTAAATCTTTATCATTCTACTTGTTCAAAGAAAAACTCTTTGTCATTCGACCAAACATGTAGAGTTACAGATTTTGTTGTTCTAAACATTCATTGAAAAGACTCAAACTATAAGATTTGAATTTTAATCTTAAATCTTTATCATTCTACTTGTTCAAAGAAAAACTCTTTGTCATTCGACCAAACATGTAGAGTTACAGATTTTGTTGTTCTAAACATTCATTGAAAAGACTCAAACTATAAGATTTGAATTTTAATCTTAAATCTTTATCATTCTACTTGTTCAAAGAAAAACTCTTTGTCATTCGACCAAACATGTAGAGTTACAGATTTTGTTGTTCTAAACATTCATTGAAAAGACTCAAACTATAAGATTTGAATTTTAATCTTAAATCTTTATCATTCTACTTGTTCAAAGAAAAACTCTTTGTCATTCGACCAAACATGTAGAGTTACAGATTTTGTTGTTCTAAACATTCATTGAAAAGACTCAAACTATAAGATTTGAATTTTAATCTTAAATCTTTATCATTCTACTTGTTCAAAGAAAAACTCTTTGTCATTCGACCAAACATGTAGAGTTACAGATTTTGTTGTTCTAAACATTCATTGAAAAGACTCAAACTATAAGATTTGAATTTTAATCTTAAATCTTTATCATTCTACTTGTTCAAAGAAAAACTCTTTATCATTCGACCAAACATGTAGAGTTACAGATTTTGTTGCCTTGATTGAAAACAAGGAACTTGGGTATGAGAGGAATTAAATATTTTTAAAATGCCAAAAGGATGAAGATCTTGTTGTTTGTCTGTTCTATTACCTCTATGCATCTAATCATGACTTTGATTAAAGCCTGCAATTATATACAACAGACTAGGTAAGTGATTGCTTAGGCCATTTCTAATGTTGTATCAAAGTTATTAGTTGTAATGGTTTCATTAAATCGGTATTAAATTGAGAATATTAAAAATGCTTTCACTAAATAGAAGATGTGTGGGAGTCTTCAGCATTTCACTGTTTGGTGCCGTTGGTTTTGCAAAACCGGCCGGACGTCATCCGATTAGTAGAAAACTTCCCAAAGCAAAGCATACTCTCGGAGGTGATGGATTGCTTTTGCCGGTCGACCGGCCGAACGTCCGGCCGGTCATTCCCCAATCGTCCCCCCGATTGACCTATGTGTTGATAATAGCCAAAAAAGCTCGGTTGGAGTGCTGAATATCAGATGAAATTTTTACGCAAATTTTTATTCAAATTTAATAAAATAAATGATTCACCGTTAAAGATGTTCTTACCCAAGAAAAGGACAAGGTAAGTGATACATCCAAGAAGCTACTTATTAAAGCCTTAACCAATAAATAATTGAATTTTGTTAATATATTTTTTAACGTGCATATTATGGAATTTAAATAAATTGCATATACTGTATAAAAGTTCGTGTAATAAAAAAATATACAATATTTTTAACTTTTTATGTCATATTATGCCTATTATCCTATTTGTCAATAAAATATTAACCTAATGAGTCTCATCACTCATATTATGTCCAATATTAACAACTAAACTAAAATAATAGAAAAATATATGGCCACTGCATTGCTCATGTTTTTAAACCATATTAACATTAGTTTATAATTTACATTTAATATTCTTAAGTTTGTGTTGAATGTGAATTAGTCAAAAGTCTTCTTGTTATTGGTCAATAATGTAGTGTTTGGAACATAGATTTTGGGAAAGAAACAAAAAAAATATGAGTGAAATATGAATAAAATATAACAATATTTTTTATGACCGGGTATCTAGATCAATTTATGCACATCTCAACTAATCCTGAAACTCACGTAAAGCCCCCTATCCACGTGAATTAGGCAAATCTCAGACAGAGCTCTCGAGCGTACCCCCAAAGAGTTGAAGGCACCTAATGAGACTTGAACTTGAGATTTGAAGAGAATACATCATCAGACCCCAAGCCCCAAACTACGCCACTAAACCAACCAACCCCTTGAAATTATGAAATATAATTACGTTTCATCCACTTTTTCATTTCCCTTTGCAAATTCATACCTAAATTCATACACTTTTTGACTGCGTATTCTTGGAATTGCTCCCAATGTAATAGACGTTAGGCTTGGTTTGGGAAGTGGGTTGGTTTTTTGACTTTTTTGACTTTTTTTGTGAGAGAAAACTGTAATGATTATGGGTTGGATGTGATGTTTTGTTTTTTATGGCTAAAATAACCTATTTTGTCTTTTGTGACTAAAATAGCCAAAAAAAGCCCAAAACCTAAGTTGCCAAACAGGACCCCGTTTGGGGACCGACTTTTTTAGCCAATTAGCCAAAAAGTTACTAAATTAGCCAAAAAGCTAACAACTCATACCAAAAAGTCAAAAATTCTCTTTTCTCTCTACTTTTTGCACATCTTTTCGTAATTAGCCAAAAAGTCATCCCAAAATACAAGTTTTTTTTACCTACCTTTTTAGCCAAATAGCCAAAAAGTTACTAAATTAGCCTATTTCCAAACGAACTTCAGATTTTTGTGGGTTTTTTTTTTTCCTTTTTAATGAAGAACAATAAAATGTTCAAAAACACAAAAATCATTCCCCACTGCATTCTTAGAGCCTTTGCCACAACCCACAATGTTCATTCTTTCGCCAGCAGCTTAACTAAGGTTAGGTTGGGACTTTAGCTAGTAAAAGACTGAAGGGTTAGAGAGGCTATAACATAATAGTCCGGGGATTAGGATCAAAACCCCAACCCTCTCTACCTCCGCTCTCCAGATCCTTTTCTGATAACCAACCTTCTTACACATTTCTGTCAACTATAACCTGAAATCCCCTCATTTTGTCTTGGTTTGGCATGTGGGTTAAGGATGGATTGAGGTTAAAATAGTCTCAAAAAAACAAAATAAACTTTTTAATCTCAGATTAAAAGTTATCACATTCAAACCATAATCATTTCATTTTTTCTCTTGTAAAAGTCAAAAAAACCCAAAAATTCATCCCAAACGAAGCTATTTTAACCCTAGGCAACTAAAAAGTCAAAAAAGTCAACTCACATCCCAAACAAAGCCAATCCAAACATATACTTCATATAGTACAGCTAGTTCACAGGAGAGAAGAATGTACCCCTATAAAATGTTTGAGTGATGCTTGCTAATGCTATATCTTCTCTACCACATCTAGTTTACCATCTCATGTCACATTAATGTATTATCTAATAGTTCTCATCTAATTGTAATGATAACACATCACATTGTAAACAACATTTAATAGAAAATATGGTTCCATATAGCATTATACATGCACACTATAAACATATTTTGGTAGACAATTTAGATGTACATTGTTTCCAATGGAAAATCAAAATCACAAAAATGTGTAATCACTTCATGCTGTTGTTGGACCAGACAAAAGGGGAAGAAAAAGCAGCTACTGAATGAAAAGCAATCAATATATTGCATAACCAGAAATTAATAACAAGCATTCAAAAATACCTGCTCCAATTCACATACTCCATGGGAATGAAAGATCATTGATAAAACATAGTAACCATCCTTATAGCACTAGAAGCACGACGAACATAAGGTATTTGTGAGATATTGATTTTGGAAATGAAAATTTGATACCTTGCAGCACCCAATCAAATTTGAAATATACGCAACAATCCTAACTTTGTTAAATTAACAACCCTTGTAGGTAATAAAGTGAGATATTAAAAGAATGAGCTCAAGGTAAACCTTGTAGTTTCTCTTCAAATATCAACACAAAGATAGTTCTCCTAAATTAAAACATCTTTTAGGGAAATTGCTTCAGACCTTTTACCAAATAAATTTCACACCATCTACTCAAAACATAAATTCTTAACCATTAAGATGAGAACACCACCCAAGTTCCCCTTGGCCAGCCCGTTGGATGCATAAAAAAAGACCATTTTGTAGCTTAGGATATGGGTTTTGTCATTGGACAACTCATGTACATTCAAAAGTTGTTGCATCAACTGTAGAGTCCAACATCATCAAAAAATAAAATAAAATAGAGGGGGTAGAGAGAGAGAGAAAGAGAACAGAAGAGTCCAAACCCTGGTTACATATATAAACTTACATATATCCTTTTACAAAGAGAGGTACTTAAATTATTCCAACAATAGTTTATTCTTTACAAAATTAATAACCAAATAACACTCTTTAAGTAATCCTCAAAAGCATATAGAAATAGAAACATATTAATGCTTTTATATTAAATTTATAAATAAATATTTGAAAAATCTACACTATCTAGAAGCAATTCTTACATTGTGAGTCGGCAAAAAAGGAGAGCCAATTGGAGCTGCAAGGCCAAGAAACCGCATTATCCTGAACCGGCGGATCTTTCTCACTGACTGCAATGGATAAGTCACCTCCTGGACAAAGGGTGAAGGGAACAGTCAGTCAATAAACATTTTTCACTGACAGATCATATATGTTGTGATTGCAACTCACATCAAAGCGAACTTTTGGTTTCCGTTCTCTCTTGCCCCTTCTCCTTTCCAGGCAATCACTTTCTGTTCTGCTAGAACTTGATGAATTCCACTTATCTGTTAATGCCAGAATCAGAAGTTTAGAATTGCAGGCAAAGATACTACAGAGTAAATCTTCCTTTGAAAGTAGTCTTTTATACTTGAACTAATTTTACTGGCTAATATGTACAACCTACGAAGCACAGACACAGACATGATACATAGGGCAAAAAATATTTTTTTATTTACTATGTATACTGTATACGAATATAAATTGAGGATACATAGATATGAGAGACATCTATGTATATGTATATGTTTATATGGGTGTATAATATATTTTCAATTTAGGGTGAATTACACTCACCTCCCATGAGGTTTGAAGAAAATACAATCAGCCCCACACTTTTGATATAATTACATTAACTCTCTTCTAGTATGACTAAAGCGACCCAAACTAATATCAATGATAGGTAGACATTGAAATAAACAAAGACAAATATACATTTCAGTAGAAAAGAAATGATAGCATCATTTTTTCATTCATACAACTAACAAGTTACTGATAAAAAAATACTTGAATATTATGTGAATTAATGAATTGAGGGAGCTCAATGTAATTATGTCAAAAGTGTGGAACTAATTGTATTTTCTTCAAACCTCAAGGAAGTGAGTGTAATTTACCCTTTTAATTTATATGCGGATGCGTGTTTTCATATATTTTACTTTGACCCCAAATCAACTTTATAAAATTATAGGGAAAAAAAAAAACTACAAATGTGTCCTGAGGTGTGTCCAAACGTAGGACACGCTTGTCCACGAAGTGTCCCTAAAGTGTCCTTCAAAAAAACTAATAATTAAAAAAATTACCACACCGTGTGGCGTGTCGGACATGCGGACCATGTATCCCCAGTCTCCACGGACACGGAATCCATCTTGGGGTGTCCGTGCTTCATAGTGTACAATAAGATCCAAGTAACATAAACAATGAGGTGAGAACACTAATACTGTGTTTGGTTGGGGGATTTGAAGAGGGATTTGGAAAGAGAAATGGAAAAAGTAGGTGAAATATGAATAAAATATACCTCTATTTCACCTAGTTTCACACACCTTTTCTCTTTCC